AAAAAAAAATCATGAGAACTTCCCTATATGGAACCCCATGTCGAACTGCGGTTCTAATTGTAAGTGCATAAGGCAAATCGAAGGCATGGTCGCACAAGTCCACTCCTTGGTATGAGCTGTTTTCCCTTGTCACCTCACTCTCACTATTTGATGTGGATGGAAGCAGCAGCGGAACAACCCCACCATCAGGCACCATCACCCACTACATATATTATGCTTCGTCTGTTTGTTTGTTTGTTTGTTTGTCTGTCCGGAAATTCGGTTCTACCAGAAGAACAACTTGGAGAGGTGGGTCAAGGTCGGGATGGGTAGGGCATGTTACAAGATGTAGATAGCACCCGTGATCCATGCTAAACTCTGCCCACAGTGGGCGGTGCGTGCGCCGAAAATTAACAATGCCATTGAAGAAATTCATAATTCGGCTCCACAGCAGTCCCGAGATGGGGAAAAGTGGTGTAACGTTAACAGACGACGCAAAAAGTGGATCATGGTCCCCAAGTGGTCACCCGTTAAGAAGTGCGAGGCATACCCGTTGCGGGCGGATGTGCATCGAGTGGGCGGAGCCAGTTTGAAAAATTCGTAAAAAGCTTCCAAGGCTCTCCAGACACCGGGAAAAAGTGGGTTAATGTCAGCAAAGGGCTACCCATAGAGAAGTGCGAGGCACAAGCGTTGTAGGCGGAGCTGCATCGAGGTGGGCGGAGCCAAATTAAATAATTCGTAAAACACATCCGGAGCACTCGAGACATTAAAAAAGTGGATGAATGTCAGCAGTGGGTCACGTTGAGAAGTTCGTGGTACACCAGTTGTGGCCGGAGCTGCATCGAGGTACGAGGAACGTCGAGGTAGGAGGAACAGATACATAAATTCGCTCTTTAAGGCACTCGGACACAACGTGAATTATGGTCCAAAAATGCGTAACCGTTAAGGGAGGGCGTGTATGCTGAGGTGGTGGAGCGCGGAGGGCTGGACGGTCACAGCGAAAATCTTTGAAATGTTCCAGGCAGTCCAGACACAGGAAATATTAAGCACAGATGTGCAAGACCTCGAAAATCGAAGTGAGATAGAATGGCAGGTGGACAAGGTGGGGGGGGGAAAGTCAGAAATTTACGAGTTGCTTGCAGAGCAGCATATGCACCGGGAACATTAGACTGAAGTTCACAAGGAGTTAGTAGATGAAACGGGGCAGACATCCTCAAAATGGTCGGGCCGTACTCGAGATGGACAGTGCTTGCTACGCGATTTTAGGGATTTTATAATTCGGATCTGAGCGACTTCAGAGACCAGTAAAAGTTGGAGAAAAGAAGCATATGGCGAAAGTTGAGCGTGTCTGTGGTGTGTAGAGATCCGCCCACAGTGGGCTGAGGGTGCCCTCAAGCACGAGCTGCCTGTTTTTACTGAGCTTCAGTGCATCGGCAGCCATACACTTAACCACCTGGTCGTCGTAAGTACATTCGATACCAGTCGGCTCGCCACGATTGATACTTTGCTTTTCTCTCATCTCTGCACTTCATCAACGCTTCCTACCACAGTTCCATTTACAGTAATAATGTTGGAAACAGAAGTTAAGATGTGATTGGTAAAGGAGCGTTAGTCATCTGTTCAGATAAAAGAAATTCCGGATAGTTATTGGGTATACATACATGTGGAAGAAGGCGCGCCGGCGTCAGCCCGGCAAGCCGACTGGTTAGAAATAAAAGTTGGGCGTTGTGGTCGCCGGGTGGGCGGGGCGACCGACTCTTCACCAGCGGAAGGCTATCCTCTTTGACATGTGAAACTAGTACATCCTGCATCCTTAGAAGTAGGGCGATGTTCAGAGAGGGTGTGCGAGCATGAAATGAATGCGGGCACTGCCTTCAAGATACCCTATACGAACCCTCCGCAGATTCTCCATCCGTTCTGCTTTGGCCAATTTTGGCAACGAAACCACAAGCGATGTCGTCATTTCCTCGTACGAAGCGATGTTCATGGCCAAGTTCATAGAGGGCACCTACATCGCTCCGAGGAGCAGGTCCTCTGAAGTTCTTTTGGACGGCTTGAGCGAGCGACATTTTACCAACGTCGTACCTGATCTTTCTAGCCGCACCATCAAGTCTTCGCAGACTGCCATCCTAGCCCTGGGCAGCGCTCCTCCGCTTCTTGCAGCCTCTCCCAGGCGATCCCAACCACGCTGTCCTGTCGTTGGTTCCCTTTGTTTCAGGGGAATAGGCTGCCTAGGAATTAATATAGACATATTTCACGAAAAGTGCTCATTGAAGATACTTGAAAACTTCATTATGCTACCTTGAAAACTTCAATATGCTGGTATTTCGCAGCACATTTCGGGTGCAATGTCCAGAATCCATTGTCGGTCTCCTTTATCTGCACTTAGTTTCAGCAATGATGTCATTGCAGTTATGTTTCAGCTCTCGCTCGGAAGTACTCGAACCAAAATGAGCAGCTCAGACTATGGCTCCAGAAATCATGCCGTCGTTGGAACCAATACACATGTCATATACCATAAGTAAGTTTAACATCGAAGGTCAGCAACTAACTTGTTCGCGATTGAGAAATCACTTAAAAACTTAATGCCCGAGATTACTAATTTAAGCCGTGGTATACGCATCACTGGTTATCTAGCCCGAGTAAGTTGCAAACTTGCAAACTGCACATATCTTCTAGTTTCGAGGGATTGTTGAGCGCCAACTGTCCTATTATACGCATTCCGCCCAGTATGCCGGTGTACCGCGAAATTTATGGCTCGTATCTCAGCAGGAGTTGGACCGTGTTCCCAACCAGTGAGATAGGGGTGCATGGGTTCGCAGCAGTGAGAACGAAAGATCAGATTAGCGGCATGTTAAGGGTTGCACGTCAAATTGATAATGCTTCTCGTAGCAACAGGCAGGACTAAGAATCGATATAGAATGTGGAACGGGGACACTAACTGTGCGTGACAGGAGCTAATGACACCCAATGAGGGTAGAAAGCGACAACTTTACACTGAAAAATACTCCACACACTTGGAACCATAATGCGATTGATATGACTCAAGTATTGTTTAGTATCAGCGTATCATTAGTATAGGCTACGTTCATACTTTGCAGCAGCGATCAGCAGCGGTTCAAGCTTCCGTCAGGGTCAACGAATAGGGAATACCAGTCTAGCGTCCAGCAGCGTCTACCAGCGTCCACCATCGACCAACAGCGTCTCGAGAGCTTGGTATATGTATAGTACCAGTCGGATCGCCCGGCTGACGCCGAGCTCTCCTCCTTCTTTTAGCTCGGCTTCGCCGAGCTGGCCTGGCTTCGCCAGGCGCACATCATAACGGGATGGAATTAGCTAATTGTCTGAGCTGCTCATATTGCGCGGTAGTGGTCGAATCATAATAAACGAGTAACCTAGCGAAATCTGCACCTCTCAGAGTTGCGGAAGTCGTGCTGGTTTCGGCCATAACGCACATTCTATACGTAGATCTCAGAAATAGATAGGAAGTACAGAATATCAATATATGTTGCACAGTAGATGAACAAATTCCGTTTTTATTACATGCATCACAACACCAACGATGGGCGATTAACTTGTCATTAACATGCAATCCACCTGCTAAGGTTGCATGAATGGCTGCAGATGACAATATTTAGGCAGCGTTCATTGAATATCTTACAAACTACTTCGTTATTCGTTCTCATCAGTGATTTGATGTTGAAAAGCAAAAAAAATATTTAAGTACTCACTGAACGCATAAAGTGTGTTCCAATATTGGAGTTTTTGATTTCTCCAAACTTCCTGTTTCAGGCGAAGTATATACCCCCCCCCCCCCCCCCTCCCCTCCTAGTGGCATGAGTACATTTTCTAGTGCTATCAGAGGAGTGATGGCTGTGGGAAAATTTCGCTTACTGAGAGGTTTTTTGGCAGTGTAGTGGTCAGAGATGTCATGAAAATGTCCCCTTATCTTTACTTATCAATTGATAAAATTGCTTGTCACCGTCATCAATGTCGCTATCACTAAAACTCCATAATTTCGTGGTGTAGAGGCTTCAGCGTTTGATTGAACAACAACTGCATCGTTCTCTATCAGGCCTCTATCAGCTGTTATCATTTCTTGCCACCCGCCGTCGCATTCTCCACCTTCCCCTTGATATCATTTGCTGAAATGAACGCCTAACTGATGCTGTGTACCGCGTTATGAGTATGTTGTCCTTTCCATTCTAACTCCCTTTATTAGCGGCTAGCAGTTCTTGTCACCGACATATTCCTGTGCCACAACCTATATCATACCTTGAAAAAACGCCCCAGTGTTCCTGGCAGCTGGACTGTACGACTGCTGGCCGCTGGTGGACGCTGGTAGACGCTGCAGGCCGCTAGATCGATACCGATACTTCCCTAGCTCTCGATACACTGCTGGTCGCTGCCTCAAAATGTGAAGGCTGCCAACTCATTATATCCCCTTACTAATAGCGGCTTCACATACTCGCTAAACTGATTTCAGAGGCATGATGGGTGGTTACAGAGAGCTGTATAAGCAGTAGCAAATTTCCTACATCTCTAAAGGCAGTTGGCACGATAAATCCCTAAAGAGGATCATCAATATGCCTGGCAGGACGGAATTCCCCCTTGAGGTTAGGCGCTGCGTAACGCCATTTCAAGGGAAGGTACCCTTATAAGGGCCCTGTCAAGCTACAACATACCGCCCGAACGCCCACCACGCCCGCCCGCCCACTAATGGACGACCGTTCCTGATTGCCTAAGCAAATTATGAAGTGGAAGGATTGGTATGAAGCAGCGACGGGTTGGATATATGAGTCATGCAAGAAGCCGCACCTAGCGAATATTGATTGATTGAATTGATTTTTGACTCATCGAGAACAAGGGCTTTTCTTCGTAGGATTTGGCCGTTTCGCTCCGTTCTTTCGCCATTTTCCCCGCTATATAGCGCCCTAGCATTTCAGGCCGAGTACCAAATTACCGTGCCAGCTGCCTTTAATTACCATAACTATCAGTCATTAGCAGTCTTGGAGAAAACTATATGAAGCGTCCCAGTGCTGGGTGCACCGGCAGATGCCCCAGGGCAGTGAATGCCATGATGCTGTAGGACGCTCCGGCGACTAGGGAGATATGCTACTATACGACTACAGCGGCTGATCAGACGGACTGCTAAGGATCCACACAAGTTAAGGAGGTAACTTCTGCAACCAATAAACAGAAGATAATGGATAGGGTAGCATAGAAGGTACCTCTGGGACTGTTTACCTCATAAACCACTCGAAGGATACCAAACAGTGCGCTTGAATGCGCCCTCAAGGGGACAGAAACGGCAGACTGTAATGAACCCAAAGCTCGAAGGAGGGATCAGGTCAGGTATTCGTTTGGGCAGTCCGAAAATAGACCTCTTCTATTTGTCTATTTATTTGTTTGTCATGCACGCATAAATGCGCTACAATTTTATAGTTTACAAAATGAAACATCCAGGTGGCATATTAAAGGATAAAGAATAAAGTCTTAGTGGGATGCGGAACGCATTCTACTTCCAAGAATTGTAGTGGCTTATTGAATGCGATGTGGCCTATACAATGACTTGCGGTGGCCAGCCGATGTACAAGTCAGTGTTTTATCCTCCCAGACGAATCTGGTACCAATTCACCGTCCCCGGAGGGTAGAAGGCTTGGTTGGCCTGGGCGGGAGTCGACTCGGCATTTGAACCGACGACGCGCAAGTGGTAAGCGCGCCGCTTGTCACTACGCCACCTCCGCCTCCTCCAGCGGTATATTAAAAGAAAAAAGCAAAACGCGAAAATACAGCAACACCACTCGAAAACCTGCATTTTCTTAGAAACTTTGCATGCCTATCAAATTCGTTAAGACAGCCTTCTTCAAATTACTGCTGAACGTATAGATGTTAGGCGCTTTCTGCAGGTCTGATGGTAGGGACTAGATCATCATCTCGCTCTTCGGCAAAACAATGAGTTATCCTGGATGCGATGCCTTCCGTACAGTTTAGGACATTGCAAGGACAAGGAATAGATGCCGCCTTTTGTCGGTTTGAACACCAATACTTGCAGGGTTTCAATCTTAGCTCTCGTTCAGTATCTTGAAGCAGAACACATTACAAACATTACAAAACAACAAAACACATTACAAAAAAACATCCTTCTGGACACTGATTATCCTTTCATTCTATAAACCAGTAACTTTGTGTGTCGGTTTGTATGTTTGTATGTAGGTTTGTATGTATGTTTGTCTGTCCGTCCGCACAATACTTCACGGGTTCGAGTTCGCTGGAGGAGAAAACGACCGCTAGGCAAACCGGTAACCGATTGGGAGGATGTAGCAATCCAATGATTTGATTGTGATAACAGCCTCCGCTATATAGACAAACCATTCGGCTACCATCCGAGCCATGTGTACGAGGCTATGCCGTGGCGCAGCGGACGTGTGCTCGTGCGGGGCAGGGTGGGGGTGCCCAGTCGCCCTGCCTCCCTCTCCTGCACGTGCTCAGCCGGAGCTGGGCACATGTATGGGAGGGAGGCAGAGTGAAGGGGTCGCGGGGAGGGGGTACAGTGAGGGGTGCGTAGCGCGCGTTTCAGTAGAAAACGGGGTGCGGCCACCAAGGGATTAGATGAGTGAGCAACGGCTAACAAAATGACTGCAAGCATTCTATGTGAGCGGCGTGAGAGTGAACTAAGGAAGTTGTTTTGGTTGTGAGTCAACACTCTCCACGATGTATAAGAAAAACCACTAAAACTCGAGCTATGCACGGCTTTGCTCTGGCAGATTGCGTTATTTGTGCTTTAAATGCCGTGCATAGGGCAAGGTGTGGGGGTGGATCGAGTGTGCGAGTACGAAATGGGTAAGGAGGAAGGGCGGAGTGTTATCGAATAACGCGCGCTTCGTCCGGCGATCTCTCGAGCGTCGCGCTGCGCGTAACTCAGTCGATCTGAGCCCATGCCAGGGAAGGAGGCATTGTTGATGGCAGTTGGAATTCGTTGTGGCAATTGGGTGGTGTATGCGAGACAAGGGGATGCCGTAGGTACGCGTAATATGTGGAGCAGGCGCCAGAGAGAAGGAAAGAACCACTAGCCAAAAACTTCAAGCCTAATTTCCAGTTACAGCCAATCGGAGCTATAAGATGGTGGGTGTTTGTTTGTGAATCGCTCCCGCTATCTAGCGTGCACTGTGATAGACTCTGCGTGTGTAGTGTGCGATATGCGTGCTCGCTTGGGAGCTGGACGTGAGCACGAGCGCGAAGCGGGTTGGGGTGACGTGGCGTCGTGAGCTCTGTGGTGAGGGTGGGGTGGCAGAAACCGCGGGTGTGGGGGGGACAGTACGAAGGCGACGGTTTTAAACGAGGGTCAGCGGGTATATGATGTAGGTAAAGGAGCTACCAGAATGAACGCACACGGCGATTTTCGCGCAATAGGAGCACATACGCCTGCGGCGGGAAAAGGCGGTCCATGGTTCAGCATGAAGATGAAGAGAAAAGGGATCCGCCGCATCAGCTGAACGATGCAATGTCTGCATTATCAAATTGTGGTATCGTTTTGATAGTGATAACACCCTCCACAACATAGCACAACCATTTAGTGCACTCAGAACATTGCACGGGCTATTCGCGTAGCAGCTGAGCGTGACCTGTAGGGTGGCTGTGCGAGGAATAGCTGAGGTTAGTTTGGGGATAGGTGAGTTGAATGGGTACCATATTGACGCGACCGACGCTCGCCTGAACACGAGCACGCAGCGACTGCGGAGACCGAAGCATCCATGGCTGTCATAAGATGGGGAGGAGAGTAATCGATTATCCATGACCAGATTTTGAACTTTTCATTATGAAAGTGCCCTGCGATCATATGGCGCGTTTCTACATTTATTTGATTAGAAGACAGCGGTTAGTCACCATGAGAGCATCATAAATGCCTAAGACAGTAGTATCGCCCTGCTTATGCCTTTGCTCTTTCTTTCTTTCTTTCTTTCACGAGCTAAGAAGTGAGCCTCTAAAGCAGTTGCATGAGCCCGGCGAAGCCGGGCTTCCAAAAAGGAGGAGAGCTCGGCGTTAGCCGGGCGATCCGACTGGTTTTTTAAAAGGTGTAAGCGTTTCCAATAAATGGGTAAGCTACATGGATATGCAGGGTCGGGATAACACCGATACATCAAGGTCCCGATAAAGCTTTGCTGGACCTTTTCGTTTTTGCTTGAAGTTTCTTGGTGCGGAGGCTCCATATTTACGAACCGTATTCAAGTATGGGGACAACATTAGCTTTGCGAAACTTCAACAGCCTCGAAGAATCATCATGTCAATTATTTCTAGATATGAAAAAGAGTCACATTGAAAGCTTTTCGAACATTGGGGCCAATTGATGCAAAATTAAAACTGGTTAAAAACACAAGGAACGCAAGGCCGCGTATTTCATCAGAAATTAATTGACATGCCGTTCACCGTGTACTTCTGGCGAAAGAACGTTTTTAAAAAGTGCACAGGTATACCTCAAGCCCACTCCATATTGTTACATATAGACTGGTTTAGCGCGCGGTGCCCTCAGTTGTGATTATCATTATCAAACGCCATATATTCTCATGTGTCTGCATATATTTTAATTTTGACCAGCGGGTGAGTGTGAGATTACGTAGTAATTCGTAGGTCACGGGCAGTTTAATTCTTTTGTATATAGGTGTTCTCTAACCCCGCGGCACGAAACCGATAGCTATTTGTATTTGTGAGCAGTGATCTAGATCTAGTGACTACCTGATGGCAAGACGAGTTTCTCCAGACGTGGGTGTGTGCCATCGTGTTTCCAAATGCGGTGCACCTCCACGCGACCTTCAAACAGTATAACAATTCACTGACGTTTCAACCTCCTTCTGCCTTCGTACGAAAGGAGCTGTATTTGGGCCAGATTCGCGGGATAACGATCAAGGGACGATCCTCACCCAGATTCTCTGATTCAACAGCATCGGCAATAACTTCGAGTAATTTAGGAACCAACGCATCTCATGATCGGGTCCTTCAACTCTTCGTAACGTTGATAAATTAGCGTGCACGCGACTTGTTTTACATGCCATTGACTTAGCTAAGACGGCGACAGGAGATTTCTTAGTAGCACACAGTCCAGTACTGTGAATGAGTATATATAAATAGATTGTGTCTGATTGTCTCAAGAAACTGATAAGGTTACCACGTCGTTGGCAGCTCTAGCAACAGACAGCAGACAGAGTAATAATTAGCCGAAAGTCAGAATATGCAGAGCAGCAGTTTAGCCGACCGCACAATTGTGTAATGAACTTTTGACTATAGGTATCCGCAGCGTCGCCCAATTGCATTTTCTCGTGCTGATAAGACACTTCTTGCCAACGTGAGTTTACCTATACTTTATTACAAAGCTGGAATTTCCAGCAGAAATGGGTTTTGAAGATTTCAAAACTCATGGAATTCAGATGAAACAAGCTGTACATGATAACATAAACCCCTTTATTGGGATTGCATTCAATGAGAAAGAGAACTCCTTGTGGTTTGGCAAAATTCTGGCTCTAGGCTAAGGAAGTTAGTATCTGCCTGAATCTATGGACGAACACAAATTTGTTAGAAAGACTGGTTGAACACGCAGAACATGCTCGTCCGAGTCCTTCAGTTATCACGTGCCAATCCATTTATCAGGTGCTGGGCCCTAAAGCTTATCTTGAAAGCATCTGTCACGACAAGTAGTACTCAGTATAAAACGGGAGAAGGGGACATATAGCGGGAAAATGGCGAAGAAACGAAGTGGAACCGTCAAAAAAAAACCGCAGAAAAAAGCCATTCTACCCGACTCAGAAGGCAATATTGGACGAGTTTCCCATTACATCGCCCCAATAAGCGTTGCGGTGGATAGGGTTGTAGGTATGCACTCATGTATCTGTACGTACCGCTACCGCTAACATCAACGTCTTCGCTTCACCACTTATACTCCTCAAGTGAAGCGATACGAGCAGCATGGGTCGCCCATTTGGGCGCGGTGGACGTCCGGGTGGCTACGGCACCTTCCTCAGAAAAGGCGCTACGCGCCTGCTCAGGGGCGGCAATTTTTGTCCTGCTAGGCGTATTTCCTACACGTTTGGAATTTATCGTGCCACTTGCTTCCAAGGCTTGGTGTCATGAGAGACATTATAACCTACCGATGAATAGCGGGAGCATGAAAAAACGAAAATGTTATCAATATCTTGAAGACTTTTCTCCAACTATTTTGAACTTAATTTTTTTAAAAATTAAAGATGCTTGAAAATTCTACGTCATCCATGATCTTAGAGTGTTCATTCATTTTTGTTACTTTCATCTTCGTATCTTTTTCTTCTTTAGAGGATCTCTTCAAGACATTATATACAACGACAACATAGCGCTGGATCAAAAGTTCCATGGCGCATTTATTCGCGACATACTCGCGGGTTTGGAATATATTCATGCGTCCGCTATCGGATGTCACGGTGCCCTTTCAACATGGTCCTGTCTTATAGACAGAAACTGGATGATCAAGCTCACTGATTATGGTATTAGCAATTTCGCTTGAACAAATGAAGTGTGCTCCGAAACAAAGCTTTGCAGGGATCACTGATGCCATAGAACGATGGGAGAAGCAACAAGCGGTTTCTGTGACCGGACTCGAAAACAGCGACGACAAAACTCAAGCAAAACAAGCGACAAGTACGTTCAGAAGACTCTGACCAAAGCAATCACAGTCATGCTCCCTGCAAAGGATAGGTCGTGTGACGAGGCCGAACCGACAACTTTGCCACTACTTGCTATAAACCTGAAACTATGTCCGTAGGCAGAGCTTTCTGAATATTCGGGAGATTTCGGAAGAAAACTAACTGAATGGCCACCGAACAACCCATCTTACATACATACTTCATGCTAAAATGAAATTTTCGGGACTCTCACCCACACCATATCAATGGTGACTTGTGGTGTGGTCAAGAGTCGCCACTTTTACTAGAAATGAGAGCTGAGGTCAGATAGCTCCTAACAGCAATTTTCGGTTCATACAGGCTCCAGAGTTCAACGTTTAGTGATTAAGGTGTGCTGTACGAGGCACCCGAGCTGCTGAAAAATCGTGAAAAAAATCGTCTACGGAGAGTTGACCAAGATTGGACGAAGCAGACTCAGGTTGTTTACGTCTGCTGCAAATAACGAATTGATGGAATATGAATGCTTGCTTTGCTTTTTGACAGTGTTTCCAATGGTCCTTGTTCTTTGTTTTGGAATATTCATCCTACAAAGGCACTGCATGCACTCCTCGGGATTTTTTTGAATCACGCTATCCTGATGAGCCTATACGAGAGCCAACACCGCAGATTGATACAGTAGTTTTGCGGTGGACAAATGCGGATTGAAAAAAAAACTAGCGTGGCGTAGCGGGTGACTGGCAGGGGAGTCTTGAGCACATCATTTTGTAACATTCCCAATTGTCTTCAGTGTAGTAGTGTGGTCACAACGAGTTGGATCGACAGGGGAGTGCGCTTTATCAGGGGTCCTCACTTCCCCGGAAGATATCAAAAATAAACAAAAAAGACGCGACGTTAATCAAGGATAAATATGAGAAACACGATGGAAATGAGCCATAATAAATCATAAATAAATTAAGAAAAGTAATAAATTATAAATGAGCATCAAAAGACACAAGGAAAGAAAGAAAATGTCGGGAAATGCGAGTGACAGCATAAGTATCAGGGCACATCATTGGTTGGGGATTTTGTTCGAGCGTGCGCCCCCCCCCCGTCTTTTTTGAGTTTGATACCTCTGTCCCTCCTTATCGAATCTACGGTATATACTGCGCATGAAACAGGAAAATCACGAAAACTAGAAGGCCAAAAAGTAAGTACGACCCCTTCCTCCCAATTAATGAGCAAGTACGACTCCCCTCCCCCTTTTACAACGTCCGTGAAGCGAGAAAAATCAACTATCAAAATAAATTTTTCTCAGCCCAAATACGACCCCCTCTCCTGGCGGCCAAAAACGACCCCCCCCCCCTTCCGTTGATTCCCCAACAACGATTTCCCAGCTGAATATTAGTCGTTCTCGGCCATTAAAGGTGCTTCGTGCCAAGGTTTCGGAGCGAACTATTTCACGCCCGAAGCCAGTTTCAAGCCAACCAAAAGTACCCTCACTTAAACACCCATAGCTTCTTAGAATAGAGCTATTGGGGAGGGGAGGGGAAAGCAGTAGTGTGGATCCCTAAGTAGGCACTTGTTACCTTCTTGAGTTTGCAGCCGCCGTCCTCAAAATTCATTTCAACGGAAATTTGCTACGTTGTGAATCCTGTCAATCATCGGCGGGTCATCTATGTCGAAGCGCTATCTATAGTGGAATTGGAAGAAGTTCTACAAGGAAAGCATCTACCTCTTAAAGGTTCATTCGTCAGTGTTGATTTCAACGCTAAGATCGAACCAAGAAGAGACGCTGTAAAAGAACTTCTCACACGCAATTCACGGAACGGAGTGGAATGAGCAGGGTGAAAGGCTGTCTGAGTTTATCATGTCGACCCACACCATCCATGGTAACTCGCAGTTCCAGAAGCCCTACTCTACGCTGGACATGGGAGTCTCCTGGTGGACAATTCCATAACGAGATCGACCACATCATCTGCAATCGAAGGTTTGCTATCGTGTCGCTGTCTGGTCCCGAGTTTCTACACGGGAATCCACCATCGCCTCCTTCGCGCGCAAGATTCCGCTTTTCGATGCGAGGAGAGAGAGCCGCAAAGTTCAAGAAGCGAAGCCCAAAGACCTTCATCAACTGGGATCACTTCACTTCTCTCGCTGGGCTCTGGGAGGATTCTGTCATCGACAACATCGACGAGGAATACGAACGGCTTGTTGCACATCTTCACGACTGCGCCAAGAAGTCAGAGGGTTCCAAGATTACCAAGAAGCGTCTATCTCTGGAAACTCTCGAGCTGATTCGCCAACGAGCCGCACGAGCCGCAGGCAATTACCAGCTGACGTCTGAGCTTGCGAAGCTATGCAGAGGAGCGATAAAAGAAGACCTCAAGGAGAGAAGAGCAGCAGTATTGGTGGAAGCCGCAGAGGCTGGGAAGAGCATACGCAACGCCCCGCGACTTCGCCAACTGTAAGACCAAGATGACCGCCCTCCGACGTCCGGATGGAACAATCACCGCATCCAGAAGGGCAATGGGAAGGTCATCCACGACTTCTACTCGGATCTCTTTGACAGCCACGTCCACCTGCAACCATACGCTTGGAGGCAGATGGATATTGTCCGGTTACCTGCAGTCTCCCTTCCGAAAGTTCCGACACGCCATCTCGTCAGGTGGAAAGAATCGTACGGCACCCGTCCGCAGCGCATCAGACGGCCGAAGACATATTGAAGAATCTTCCGCCTAGTCTATCGTCAAAAACTACTGGCTCGGACTCTTCACGCGTACCTGTCGCAATTGCAGTACCCACCTCGTGGAAAACCAGCAAGACTGTGTTGCTGTACAAGAAGGGAGACCTGTACGACATTGGCAATTATCGCCCAATCTGCCTGCTGTCTGTAGTCTACAAACTCTTCACACGAGTCATCCTGAATAGGATTGGCAGAACACTAGACGAAGGACAGCCATGCGAGCAAGCAGGGTTTCGAAGAGGATTCAGCACGATCGATCACATCCACACGGTAACGAAGCTCATCGAAGTATCGCGAGAGTACAAGATGCCGCTATGTCTCACGTTCATCGATTTGAAGAAGGCCTTCGACTCCGTTGAGACAGAAGCGGTTATCCGACAGCCCTAGGAGGGCGAAACCAGGAAGGGTTTATTCCTAAGTATTCTACCTCAAGGTACATCAGGATCCGGTCCGAAGAGGCTCATACAGCAACTTCCAGACAAGATTTTCACCATCTCTACAAGACCAGACGGATCATCAACTTTGGATGGGTTGAAGTAGAAGGAGGTCCGACAGGGCGACACCATCTCGCCCAAGCTCTTCAGCGCCTCTCTCGAGAACGTCATGCGTCAACTGGAATGGGAAGACATGGGAGTGAAGATCGACGGTCGGCAACTACACCATCTCCGCTTTGCTGACGACATCGTTTTGATAACGCCAAACATCGAGCAAGCGGAACGAATGCTGCTGAATTCGACTGCGCGTGTGGAAGAATCGGTCTACGGCTGAACCTAACGAAGACGATGTTCATGAGAAACGGATTGGTATCTGATGCCCCATTCACGCTCAACGGAACGACCATCTCTGAATGCTCTAGCTATGTGTACCTAGGTCGTGAAATCAATATGATGAATGACCTAGCTCCAGAGCTGAGCAGGAGGAAGCGAGCGGCTTGGGGAGCCTTCAAGAACATCGAGGGAGTAGCGAAGAAGACGAAGAACACCAAGCTCCGTGCCCACCTCTTCGATTCCGCGGTCCTTCCTGCCTTGACGTACGCCTCAGAGACTTGGACTCTACGAAAGCAAGATGGGCAAAGGATGAGCATGCGGTCGGCGCATCATCTAACGCGCCATCCGGAAAGCGGCGATTTGCCTCGGAGTTTCCCGCTACACTCAAGTGGGGAGGAATCCGAGAAGCTCCGCATTCCGCCAACGATCGAAGATCAGAGACGCCGCCGCATTTGCCAAGGTTTCGAAGATCAGGTGGGCCGGACACGTCATGCGTTTCGAGGACGACGCTGGACCAGAGAGCGAGTCACCGAGCTGCGATTCCAGGGAATCAAGCGAACCCTGACGACCGCCTATGCGATGGTCAGACTTCTTCGTGAAAGCTCTGAACGAACGGTATGAAGTTCATCGTGTCCCTCGAGCTGAGAGAGTTCATTGGGCAACTCTTGCACGTTGCAGGGACGAATGGAGAGACGTTACTGGCGCCCGCTCGAGGAACTCGATGATCAACGGTGAGACAGAGTGATACAGGTGATACGTTGAACCAGGCCTTAGTAAGCTTCATACACAGCTATTATTGTAGTGTACTACTCGGCCGAAAAAAAGGTTGCCGAGCGGGGGGGATTTCGATTTCGATTTCGAAGCTTTCTACTTTCCAGCAAGACTTTCATTTTATCCCTACGCCTGATATTTAAGAAAACCCCGTTGTGATCACAGCGTCACCCCTGCGGGAAGACACGAAAAAAACCCACCCATCCAATGCCATACCATTTCCAGTTTCGTTTGAAGACTTCGGTATGCTTCTAAAACACATGTTTTCAGGAAGTTTCAGGAAGTTAGTTGAATTCGGGCGCGAATGCCATCACTTCATGTTGTGCATAACGCCTTCACGCAGAAAGGTGGGAAGGCGCAACAGAAAGGCTTTTCTCGTGACTAGAATGGCTTCATGCGAATCAGAAAGGTCCGAATGTATTTTCTCAACTGTTGTGTTCGTATCCATGACATCTGTGTACGCGCCATGTTATTTCTCGGCCCGTTCACACAAATTCTGCAGTGGCAGGTTGCTTATGTCCTGTGTGTCTCCTCAGTAGTTCGTGTCACGATGAGTTTCTCATCACAATGAAGCAACCAGCATCTGGGGTATCCGCTGCCACCGTCAAGTTCAGAAAGGCCTCGCGTTACGATCCCCTCCCCCGCTTCCAACGTCCAAATACGACCCCCACTGTTGTGAATACATCAATAACAATGGCCGTGCCTGACTTATACCAAATCTTTGAACGAGAAAATGTTTTAACTCCTCAATATTGCGCTGTTCTGGGGCCTCATCACAATCTGAATTCAAAACATATGAAAGAAGCTCCAAAAATTTTATTGCAAAAAACTTCAAAGATCTGAAAGAATCTAAAACTTTTTTAGGATTCTTTTGCGGAGTGGCTTTTTTGCCAATCTTGCGCGGAGCCCCACCGCACATATAGTTTCTCATCATTGCGCACCGGTGGGGCGTGCTGTATTATCCTTCGTATTACTCGTTTTCTACCACTTTTTGTCGCATACGCGTTTCAACAAAAGGCTGAGAACGGCTTCAACAGTGTGCACACTCATACTGGCTGACACGCCCCACCGGTCCGCAATGATGAGGACTGTATCTCGCACACAGTGGACCCTATTACACGCCCGGCCCCCAACCAAAGATCCAAAAGAACCCAAAAAGGGCCCTAACTCTGGCTCCTTTTGGATTCTTTTGGACCTTTGGTTTTTTTTGCAATAAAATTTTTGCCGCCGCTTTTATGTGCTTTGCATTCACATTCTACTGCTGTTTATTGTACGTTCATTCACCGAAAGAGCTTTCCTATTCCATCACTTTGTCGTAATAACGTCGCATAGTGACACGAACATCGTCCTTTTCAAGGCACATAAACAACTTGGAGACATTTATGGTTTCGGCATTATTATGTACGAGATTATTTTCCGAGCGCTACCATTCCCTGATAGTACGGATATACAGGGTGAGTTTTTCAACCCTTCAATTTATTCTTCGATCTAGACTTTTAAGCAGGCGAATTGTAGAACCTACAGCTCGCTATCAACAGACCATGTAAAAGTAGAGTTAGTGGAACCATTGCTTCTTTTTTCGAAATGCGGCACTCGTAGTTTTCGATTTTCTCGCTTTTCTATTATTTTCCGTGTATGGTATCCTTAGAAGGTGTGAGTTCAAAGGACAACCTTTAAAAATCACAAGTTTCCTTCATTACAGCTATTTTCGCTGCAGGCGCTGTGGTGGATCAGGGGGGCTGGGCTTGGCGTGGCGCCATCTCATTCTCCACCAGTTGTTGAAGTGGGCAAGCAGCAACAACTGGTGTAAAGCAAGTTGGCGTTCACCAAACCCAGCCCCCTGATACGCTCCAGCAGCAAAAATGACTATGTACCTAGCTCTTTTGCAGAACTTGTTGAAAGCATAAAAGACGGAAGCAGAGTTATTAAACCTCAAATTCAATCAAATAAGGTGGGTGATGACCTAGGAATTCGACAGGATCATCAATTTTGTAATTGCCTAGCTTGCTTTTAGGTCCTAAACATGGATTTGACAAGTCTCATACTGGATTGCTGGAACACTAGTCCCGAAATGAGACCCAGTGTGCGAAGAATCAAGCTGAACATAGAGACATATCTAAAAGTGTGGGTCCTTTCACTTTTATCTCTAATGCAGAGTTCAATTATTACAATGTTCATTCCTATACTCGTATAAACGTCTTGTTCATCGTTCAGAGCCGTGAGTGCATGACAAATCGAGTTCTTCTCTTCTATAGAAATGGGAGGGAGTTGTGCTCACCCAGTAGAATCAATTCACCTATTCATTACAAGTCCTATTCACCACGCTTTTGACGATCATCTAATGCATAGGTCAAATTCTCTAATCCTCCTGCTACTGATAATGTTCCTCAAATAACTTACCTGCTCGGGGGTTCTTATTCTAGAAATGTCCTCTGATGGGGTGAATGCTTTGTACATAAGCATGTGCGCTAGGATATTTGTCATTTTTTTGATTACAGTGGAAGTGGGGAAAAATAAATAGAGATTATACTATCTAGGGAGGGTGGCCAGTTCTAATTTTGGACGCTGATCTCGAATGTGATTTCGAAATTTGCAGAACAATGCTCTGAACGGAGTTATGGAGCTTTTTCTCCATGTCTACTATGCTGCTCGTCATAGGATCAGATCCCTGCTGCGCTTAACTTTCTTGTTTCTTGCAGAACACTACAAAAAGTGGTTTTGGCCTCACTACCACTTCAGTGCTCGCCTAGACTTCCTGAAAAAAAGTTTGCATGCTGTTATTGTTGCGCTTTGGTGCATTGTGATCTAGAAGAAGACTTTTGTGCACAGGTGCTGGCTATGCGCGATACAATCGTTTTCGCACTAAACGAGTGCCATTTTCGTGTTTAGCTGGTCAAACTACTTTTAAGAACAATTTTCTAGTCAAATCTGGCATTTTGACTAGACTTCGAAAAAAGAAGCATCATGAGTGCATTCAATTCACGTTTACACCTACTCAGTCACAGATACAGTCTTCTGTTCTAAGCCACTTGCCTTGCCATTTCTGAAATGTTCGTTCTAACCGCTCCCATTTTTCCTGACACCTGAAAGCAGATTTCGTCCAAAGACAAGCAAGTGAATACACTGGCCCTAGAACGCCTGGGACCATCATTTCCACCATCTGCTCACTTTTTCCACTTTTTCGAAGTTAGTCAAAGCCTTATATCTGGCTACCTTACCTGTTCCCGGGGGTAGTTTTGCTCCATGTCACGACACTATGTTGCCGTTTCACTTGTTTGCGCTTCGTGGCTATTCGCGCAAATTGGCTGGTCACCGCGCTGGACTCCGTGTCCCTTCAGTCGAATAGACCATAATCCCCTTCAGAGAATCGTTCTGCAAATTTCGAAGGCAGATTTGAAATCAGCGTTCAAAAACACGTCCCGTGATATACGTCTCGTTACAAATGGCCACTTCGACCTGGCGACCATCCTTAGTTAGATAAAATTGGAAGAAAGAAACTGAGGACGATGTATCTTATTTGCAGACGAGGAAGTCTTGTCGACCAAATGATGCGCATGATGGAACAGGTACGCAGAATCCAGTATTATAACAATATGTATTCTCATATACTCGACATCAAGGTTATGTCAAGCAAGCGCGGCTAGCGTCCTTGGAACGTCTGAGAGGTGGGGGAGGAGGGCGCTGAGGGGGGGGGGGGAGGAGTGGAGCTGTTCAAAGCTTGAAACTGTCAACTCTATCGTGAGGGCACCTCTCGCAATCCAGATTTCGTGGGCAGAGGAGCTGAAACAGGAGTGACACGGTGGAAAGGAATTCAGTAGTAAGGAAAAAGTAGTTGGAAATGTCGCGACCCTCTTCCAATCCGACCTTACGACAAAGAGAGGGCGTAGTTAGACGAATGCTCTTTTATTGGTATCATAGCGTTGACAGTACCTTCCCCTTACCACCACAGTATCACTATACACCATAGGTAGCAGCGGAACACCAACACGCCATTTGAAATAAACGTTGGGCGCAGTATGGGGCAGCTGGCGGGCAGCGCCTTCACCATGAGCAGCCTGCAGCATCGACATCACGTATTTTTGAGTCGCAATAAGGTACCTGCTTTGTACCTGCAACCAGACTAAGAACAACCAAGAAAGGCGTCTTCACATTAAATGAACTTCTAGATGTGCCTATAGTTCCGTAGTAACTACCCGAAAATGCCGGCTCTATCAAAGCTTCGGGAAGAAATGTTAATCTTAGGGCGTGACGTCATTGCAGGAGAGTACAATTGAGTTGCAAAAAAAGAGTCATAAGATTCTTAAGTGCTAGTGCCTCCATTTCAATGGAAATCAAGGTCAAAGTAGCATACAAAAAAACGTAGGAAGGCAGAATACAGCATCGTGAGGTGTGAAAAAGACGACTCGTGTTCCCCACCCTAATTATCATATTCCTACCTGCCAGTTTCAATTATCAGAAATAGTGGTCCTGTTTTGCGTCGCCGGCAACTAGGGAAGTTTATTTATAGCGAGCACGAAACAGACAAAAGCAAGAATTGTCAACAACCGAAAAAGTTTGACCGTGGGGCAGGGTGGGATGGAGGGAGGGGGAGGAACACCAAGTGACCCCTCCCCTCCGCTCCCTCTTCTTCCTTTCCCCGCACGTGCTCCCTCTGCTTCCTTTCCCCGCACGTGCTCAGCCG